GTGTGTGTGTGTGTGTGTGTGTGTGTGTGTGTGTGTGTGTGTGTGTGTGTGTGTACACAATGGAATATTAGTCCATTCTAATTGATCTTGCCATTTGTGAACATGGATGGACCTAAAGGGCATTATGAGTGAAATAAGTCAGACAAATAGTGTGATTTCAGTTACATGTGGAATCTGAACAAATAAAAAGCAAAAACAGACTCAAATAAATACAAAGAATAAACTGAGGATTGCCAGAGGGGAGGGGTGGTGGGAGGATGGACAAAATGGTTGCAGGAGAGGGGGAGGTACAGGCTTCTAGTTATGGTACAGCATAGGGAATATAGTCAATGCTATTATAATAGCATTATATGGTGATAGATGGTAGCTCTACTTTTGATGAACATATCATAATGTACACATTTGTGGGATCACTTTATTGTACACCTTGAATGTAACATTGTATGCCTACTATACTTAAAAAAAAACAGTATTAAAATTAGCTTCATGTCTGCTTGCAGAAGAACACATTAGTTTCCTCAAGTTCCTTGCCTGGCTAGGGACAATAACAGAATCCTAGGGTTGGAAGTATTCCCTATATTTATTCTCCCTAATTTGGCAAAGACCATGAGCATTGATTTTTACCATCTGAATTAAGAGTTTCTCTAGGCCAGAAGACTTGAACTCATTTAAAGCAAAAAGGTAGTATGGTAAGCCATGGCTTTACTTGTCCTTCCGAATTCAGTGCTGAGAATCATTCTGTGAGGTCTGCAGTGGGTTTTTCTAGGTTTCTCTTCAGCTTGGTAGATCTTGGAGTCTTCTGGTACTTAAAGCTCCACTTATCTGTTGCACTTAATTTATATTTCCAGACCTTTGTGTCCTATGAAGACATAAAACCCCGGGGATGTAAATAATAAGAGACTAAAAACATGGACACCTTATGAGGATTGCTACTATTGAGACATCAGATGGTGAATATATACAGATGGACTCATTAAATTTAAAATTCTTTTTACTTTTATCTGCTTACACATACCTTTTATTTGAGTATTATTGTACTAGGTATAATTTTAAAATAAAACTATATATTCAAATAGAGAAGATCACAAGAAGAAAATGCATATATTTTACTCTGTACCTCTAATGCCATTAAATTAAAATCCCTTTGAATTTGTGCATGGTAGAAATTTGTGCCTTCACGACATAGCAATATGTCCTATCCATCCAGTTGATGAGGGACATTTAAACTCACCTAGAATTTAGCATTCTTTTTTTTTTAAGTTTGTTTGTTTGTTTGTTTGTTTGTTTTGAAAGAGGGAGAGAGAGAATCCCAAGCAGGCTCTGCGCTCAACCCATGAGACCATGACGCGAGATGAAATCGAGAGTCAGGTGCTCAACCGAATCAATCACCCAGCCCTGATTTCAGTGCTCTTAGGTGTCAAACTTTATAAAAGTAAACACAAATTAAAAGTTAGCAGAATGCCATCTCCTATTTTGATCCTTCTTTATTATTCTCCCCTTCTTCTCCGTTGTTTTTAAGCTTTCTCTTGAATTTACGATATTTTACTGGCAATCTGGAGTTGATGAACTGTATTATTCCCCACCCATGCCATTAAGCAGGGGAAAAGGATAATAATGATCTTCTGCAGACATTTCGCAGCCACACAGTGGGGTAGGTGCCATCATCATCCTCATTCTGTAGGTGAGGCTCAGGTTTTAAGGAATTTACCTGGTGTTTGAATACCAGTATCTGTATACTTTACAGACACAGGATTTTTTTCTCGATGCCATTGAGAATGTTATGATCTAGATCTAGCATATAGTAAAGATCCTAATCAACAGTAAAATTGCCAAATTAGCTGGAAGAGAGGCTGCCACAGCGTGCGAATATTGATTATCACCCCATGCATAAAATGGTTCCACTCTGGTTTTTTCTCTGTTACCAGCACAAATGAGACTGGAAGGCAACACCTGGAATGACGGGGCCCCGCCGGTCTCCATGCTATATCTTGGTGTTGCCACTGAAGCTGTGCAGAGCTGGAATGCTAGAGTAGCCAGCAAGGGGCACGGGAGTCCAGATGAGTTTTGTGCTTGCAGGTGCTGCGGCACGCCCAGCTGGCTGATACTCACACATCCCGTCGTAAGGTTTCTTGTTACTGCCAGTTTGAGCCACTTTCATGTCTCTTGGCTTTTCTTTTAATCAAGGGGGCTAGAAGGTGGGAAACATTTCTTTAGGGTTTAAATGATGTCAGTAATTGGCAGGAGGAAAAAGGAAATTTAATCTGAGAGGATCACAAAGTCATTGGTCTTTTCCTTTCATCTACTTACATATACTTATACTGACACCATCAGACTAGTCCCATTTGCTTTGCCCAGGATGTTACATTGTTGACTGCACGTAGGGGTTGCCCATAGTTTTATATGAAAGCATTTCTCAGCCATCCTCTGAAGTGAAATGTTAATAACACTCTTTCTCGAGCTTTGGATTTAGTACATCACACAACACAGAAGTTGGCTTCAGAGTTGGAGTCATCTTGTATATGTGGTGAGAAGTTCAAAATTACCCCTTATTTATACAGCCTTTGGCAGTTTAGGCAATGCATTTTGTCACCTGTTTGCTGTCTTATGAAGAGCTGGAAAGTTTATGAAGAAATAGAAAATATGACTTTGAGCCCTTGACATTTTAAAATAAATGTACATATTGTTAGTGACAGATTGCTAAACTTGGCTTTAGACACTTAGCTATGTTTCTTGCCAAAAGTAATCCAGATGTGCATAATTTACCCGGCTGCCATATGTGCACTGACATGTCTTTCTATAATCAACTGTCTGTTCAGTATGGTTACAGTTAAATGTTCTTTTTTATCAACAATCTTTTGAAATAGCACTAGCTTGATAACTTATTTTGAATTTAACAACTTCTCAAAAAGTAATGCGCATCCAGTTTGGCTTTAAACCTAAGTGACCAGTCATGTTGAGTATCTAGAAAAGACATTGACAGTCCAAATTCTCTGGGGCCCTATGTATTTCAAGGGTGAAGAATCTAGGATCCCAGCGTCAGTATGATCCCATTTTGCTGAGTTTCTTAGAGTGGAATGGAAGGTATAGGTACCTAATTAAATGTTGTCAAAGCAATGAACAATGAGTAACATCTCTAACGAAGTAATTCCTTTTCAAAAAGAAGTGGGAAAAAGAAATCTTGATTTGGGATGAAATAAATACGTCAAAAGAGGACATTTTATTTCTTTCACTAACTCGGTATCTTTTGTGCTATGTGCTGGCGACATTTGGGACTTTCCACCTGAGTTAGGGAGCAGCTGTCTTGATTGCCAAGCCATATTTTTGCTGTTGTTGTTGAAGAAAGAAATTAATTTCTAGAGAAATTTTATAGAGAAAAATTTTCTGGAGAATATATATGGTAGGGAGCATTACTGCTCTTTTGCCATTTTTTAAACCGATCGTTAAGTATCAGTGTGGAGAATTTAGACTACATGATGATCGCGTTGCCTGAATGATTGCACTATCCCTGAGAGATAGTTACCTTGAAACCCTGTCCTTGTTCTTTGTACTCAGTGACACTGAGCCACTAGCCTGTCTAGACAGGGGTTTTGTCAACCATGTGTGTCCTTGTTTGTGTTTGTCCACAGCTGCAATTAGGTTTTTCACACTGTCCCCATCTGTGGAGGCTGGCTGCTCAGTGACCTTGGCCAGTGCAAAATCTGTTGAAGCCCGTGTGTGGAGGGAACTCAGAGCACAGATGGTAGCACTGATGATGGGGAACCGTCGTGACTGGTGCCTGGGCTGATCATAACCAACCCATCCCGCCCACAGTATGATTTTAAGAGAGGTGTCCTGCAACCTACAAGACTCGGGTGAAAACTGGCTCCGCGTCGGCACAGATGTCCCGACAAAGATGAGAAGCATCGGTGGCATTCTTGGAGGGAGGTCTCTTCTTTATCATTATCGTAGCCAATGTGTAGCTCTTATTTTCTAACCAACTACCACTTTCCCCCACTTTCCCCTTCCACTCCTCTAGAGTTTAGCAGGAGGTTCTGAACACAAGTGCACCAGAAAAGCACAGAGGCCTATAAGAATTCCAGGTTTCCCAGTCTGAATGCTGCAGCTTGGGTCTGGTTTTGAAAACAGAGTATGCGTTTGAAAAAAAAAAAAAACAAACAAATCTGATTTGGACTAAACTGTAACTGTTAATGTACCCTGCTTGAGCTCACCTGTCAATTTGGAATCTTTGGGGCATGATTGGCAGTTCTTCTTCGCAATTTTGAAATGTTCAAGTTCTCTTCTACGAGCTGCTGACCATTTTTTATGATTAAAACATTGGGGTGTGTGTGTGTGTGTGTGTGTGTGTGTGTGTGTATGTAAAGATAGTTGTATGTTTTAACTTACATATACATATACATATACATATACATATACATATACAATCATACAACTAATTTTTAGGTGGAGAATTAGCATTGCTATCGCTAGTCCCACCACCATCTATTTTTGACTTTTCCTTATTTTGAATTAATAAACATTTCCCAAATTACTAGATTCATCCAAATTCAAAGAACTTAATTTTTTTTTTACTTGCAGTAATTTTGTGAATGTCATGTTATTTCAGAGGCCCATGATTCTTTTAAAAATTACATATTACTACTGAGGCACCTGGTGGCTCAGTCAGTTTAGCGTCTGACATGATCTCATGTTTTGTGGGGTTCGAGCCCCATGTCGGAGTCTCTGCTGTCAGCCCAGAGCCCACGTGGGGTACTCTGTCTCCATTTCCCTCTGCCCCTCCCCTGCTGGCGCATACACCCTCTCTCCAAAAATAAACGTTAAAAAAATTATGTATTAATACAACATTTTGGAAATAACAGTGACAACAGCAGTAGTAATTACAGCAAATATATATCAAGCCTGTACATGGTGCTGTTCTAACAGCCTTACTTGGCTCACGTTTCTAACAACCAGACGAAGTGAGCACCATTACTGGTCTGACTTGACAGATGAGGGTGGTAAGTCGCCTAAAGTCACAGAGCTAGGAAGCGGCAAAGCCTAGCTAGAAACCAGGGTGTGTGGCTCCAGGACCCGTTTCCCTAATTACTGTCTCCAACAGTACCAATATTGACATATCAACCTTAAAAAGAGCCTGTCCAGGATGTCATAACAATGAAATGGCCTGATCCTGATAAGTATTTCTATTTTTTATACTTGGGAAATTGCGATTAAGATCATTATACCTCAGGATCTCCTGTCTGTTTAGGCTAATGCCCCTGTCTGACAATTTGATGTCTCTTACAGGATTTATCTCACCTGGCCTCCCTGTTGAAGTCACTCTGTAGAACTGGGACCAATGTCATATAGTCAGTCGTTCATTCTTCTAGCAGCTTACAAATTAGACACACAGAACCAGACCAAAGACATAGTCTGTTTCCTCAAGAATTTCCCTTAGAATGGCCCACATGGTCATGGCTGATCTTCCATAATTGTTGGGCAAATTGACTTCTGGAGACTATTTTGGAGGTGTGTGGAATTGTCCATACTGATTTATTGACTTGTAATTTTCTGTTTCTCAGCGTCGGTGTAATCGAACCCACTAGTTGCATCTTCCCTCTAGCTGCCCAACATCTAAAACTTCTTGTTTTGTTTCACTTCATACATTTCCCATACTCTACCTCCACTCTTGTTTCCTCTCCAATTTGGTAAAATGGAAAGAAAATAGTTGGAGATGTCCTTGGTTCAGGCCCTAACTCTACCCCTTTTTTAGCCATGTGACAGTAGGCGAGTTCTCTGAGCCATCATCTCCTTCTCCACGAGGCCCACATTGAAGATAGAATCAGGAAACAGTGTCAAGACATGGTCTTGGCCCTTGAAATGCTGACATTTTAGTGGAAGATGTAGATACATAAACATTACAAGCAAATGATGAAGTTTTACAGAGGTGGCCTGTGCCACGTGTTCTAAGAGCTTAGAGGTGGGTAATAAGTTTTGGTGAGTGAATGAATGTATGAGTAAAAGTTGAGAAAAGGAACTGAAGTATGCAAGACTTCTTGTCAGGAGATTTGTCACAACCCTGGCTAGCACAGAGAGTGATTTTATAAATGTTCATTTATTCACGTAGTATTGATTGCCTCCTACCATATGGCAGACAAAGTGCAATTTGCTGCAGATGACAAAGGCCACGTTTCTTGCTCAAGGAAAATAACCGAATTGTCCATTGCTCTGAATATTAAGTAAACACACACACACACAAAACCACCTGCATTTTTTCTGGTCAGATGCTGTAGGATAAACACTTGATACACTGATGAGACCTTCCTGCTGTATCAATAAGTATATTTAAATAGGTAGTCGCTTTGTACCTGTTTATTTTAAAGTCTCCATTTTGATGTAAATGAACTAAGAAGGTGAGTATATAAACAGCTTGCAGACGAACTCTCATGCCTGTGAGCCAAATGTATATACCTAGTTTTGTGAAATCTTTCATCAGATCATCTGTTAGTACAAGTAGTTTAGTTCACAAATAATGCATAGTTTTTAAGCAGGTGCTACACAAGTGTAAGTTTTATGCTTCTATTTTTTTGTCACAATGATGCACATACTGGAGAAAATTGCCGGGAAGACTCTCTCTTCTCTCTTCCTGAAATGCAGTGTAAATAGCATATATTGTCAAATCTTAGTAATAATAACATTCATGAAACATGACTTCCTCAGAGGAGTGAGAAAAATATTTTGATGTTTAGCAAATGCTATCCCAACAGTGGAAGGGATGCCAATTTCCTGTTAGATGTTAAATCAATCATTCTGACTGCAAGTAGTGATTGAGCAAACATGGCCAAATTTTAATCTATAAGTAATTTACGTCTATTCTTTTTTGTTGTAGTTTTCAGGAAATCTAAATATTTAAAAGGAAGCTGTTCACAGGTACCTGGGTGGCTCAGTTGGTTAAGCATACTACTTTTGGTCTCGGCTGGGGTCATGATCTCCCAGTTTGTGGGTTCAAGCCCCACATCAGGGAATTGCTTGGAATTCTGTTCTCCCTCTCTCTCTGCCCCTCCCCACTTTTGCACACGCTCTTACTCTCTTGCTCTCTCTTTCTCTCTCTCAGAAAAAAATAAACTTTAAAAACAAAAAAGGAAGCTGTTTAATAGACCCTATTCCAATATCCAGTACCCATCCCCCATATTTATCATAATCAGCTGTGTTTGTGATTAGTTTCTGTGATATTTTGCCAGTAATATCTTGCATTTGAAAAAAATTATATTATAAAACAACATAGCATTATAAAAATGTGGAAAATAGAAACAAATTTATAATCCCATTGCCTAATACAGGGTTCCACAATCTCTGCACAATTGATAATTGTGGCTGGAGAATTCTTGCTTAGTGGGGGTTGTCTTGTAGGATGGTTAGAGGCATACCTGTAGCACCCCCTGAGCTTTGACAACAGAAAACCCCTCCCAGGGGTGCCACGTGTCTTCGGTGGCTAAAACTGCCTCTCTACCATTTGAAAACTGTCCTGATACGAAGCTATGATCAATTAGACTGTTCCTGTCAGTTTTTCATTTACATATAGGTCCTTTCATGGAGGTGTAATAGAGTGTGTTCATAATGCCATATTCTGATTTTTATGTCATATAACAGTTAAGCATTCTCTGCTGTTAACGAGGTATCAAAATTATCACTTTTTAATTAGCCCCCTTTTGAATTTTTTATGAATAACATGGCAAATAACATCTTTGTGCATATGTTCCACTTTAAATTTTGCTCTTAAAGTGTGCGTTCTGTTGTTTGTGAATTCTTTCCCTACTTTTTCTGTTAACATATGGAGGCTTAGGTTTAGGTAAAATGGAACCAGAATGACTCGAGTTATCTATAAATTCTAAGGTCTGTGCCCTTATAAGACTGGAGTGTTTACACATCCTGCAAGGTGTCCTTCTGAGGGAGGGCTGGGGTCCCCTTGCTCCTGGAGGGGGCCCCCCTTTCCTCTCACATGCCTCTATTTCCACATGTCCCCTGCTACAGGAGAAAGCTCAGGCTTTGGAATCAGACAGATGTGGATTCATTCCTGCTGCAAACACTACTAGCTTTGTGATTTGAGGCAATATACACTGTGAAACCTTCTCATCTATAAAAAGAGAGGAAACCGCCTATTACACAGAGCTATTGGAACACTTAGCAATAATGTTTTAAAACATCTAGCAGAATAAGTACTCAGTAACTGACGGCTAAAAGTAGTATTAATAAGAACAGTGTGGCTTCTTTTCCTTCTTGCTCTAAGCCAGCACAGTCCAAAAATAAATGCAGGCCACAAGTGTGAGTCATAGGAGTAGCTTAACTTTTCTAGTAGCCATGTTAAAATAAATAAAAAGAATAGGTGAAATTGTAATACTGTCATTTTAGTTAGGTCAGTATTTCCAAATATTATAATTTCTGCATGTAATCAGGATTAAAAATCATTAATGAGATGTTTTATATTCTAAGTCTTTGAAAGGTGACATGTGCTGTGATATGAAATGTGTTTTTGCACTTACAGCACAACCCAGTGTGGACCCGCCACATTTCAAGCGCTCAGTAGCCAGGTGTAGCTATAATGGCTATCTTATTGGAAAGCACTGCTGTGAGCAGTACTTGGAAGATGCCAGGTTAATACGTGTGTATTATTGACAAATCAATTGTTATTAAATACAATAGCCACGTCTCCCTTAAAGATCAAATTGTTCCTCAAATTTCCTTTTTTTTTTTTCTTTTAATGTTTATCTTCAAGAGAGACAGACAGAGACAGAGCATGAGCAGGAGAGGGACAGAGAGAGACTGAGACCGAATCCGAAGCAGGCTCCAGGCTCTGAGCTATCAGCACAGAGCCCGATGCGGAGCTGGAACTCAGAAGTCATGAGATCATGACCTGAGCCAAAATCCGACGCTCAACCAACTGAGCTGCCCAGGAGTCCCTCTCCCTCTCCCCCCCCCTTTTTTTTTTTAAAGCAGGACACCAAACTATTAAAACTCCTAAATTTCACACTGCCCTTCTCAATTTTGTTTAGTTCTATAGTTGTCAGTAGGAATATCTTACAGGTACTGTCACTTGAATGTGGGTTGTATCTTAACTTGCTATTCAGTTTAACGTTTGACTTAGTTTATCCAAACATTACCATTCAGGTATTTATGAAGCGCAGAATGTGTGCGGGCACCATGC